GGGAATCTGCAGTACCTCAAAACGTTGGAGTCCCAGCGGCGGGCGGCCCTCGCGGCGTGCAAAAAGAAGAATATCACCGAGCTTTTGACTATTCTCAGTAGCTTTGCATAGAGTTTTTTGTTTGTTTTAGGGGAGGGAGGAGGCTATATAATGCATTAGGAGAGCATAGACTCTCCGTTGTGACCCATACTTCAGAGCTTTATTCTATTTTTTCACTGCTTTTGCGAGGAAACATCCCTCTCCCCTCTTTGTTTGAATAGGCCAGTGTTGAACGAACGGAGGAGGGCATCCTGCGGTATCCTCTCGTAATCTCATATTGGCTGCACGTTTGTCATGCGGTTTACTGTTTAGATTTAGATTCCACACTTCACCGTTTTTCCTTATTTTTGTGCGTATGTCCAATCCTGTAATCCATCCCTAACTAATGTATCCCTGTTATGCGAGGGGCGCTTTCGGGAAACTCCGGGTTTGCCACCCAAATTATCCCGTCCGCGAATACGAAGTACCCCCACATTTCATTTCTATTCCACTGATTGTTTCCATCGCGCCGTCGCTTCGCGACCGCCTGATTTTTTCTTTTGTTAGTGTGTGCTGCTTCGTCTGGGGTGGTTCAATTCTTTCTTAATCCCGTGGCCTTGTCTTTTTTTCTTCCCCAGGTTGATCTTCAAAAAGCCACAACGCCGTGCAGAGGGCCGACGTCCGCAGACTTCGCGTGGGCGCCGGTGTCGGGGCCGTCTTTGGGGATCGGCGAATCGCTCACCGCGTCGCCTTTAAACAACAGTCGCCGGGTCTTCTCCCCCCCGGCGGGATGTCGAACGTCGCGAGGCGGCCCGCGCGCGCGGTGTTTCGCCGTGGCGTTGGCCCTTTTCGGGGGACGTTTTCTCCCTTTTTCGCCTCGTTGGAAGGGGCGGGGTTGTGCAGCCCCTGCCGGGGGATTGCCAGCGAGTTTAAGGACCTCCAGCGGGCGGGTTTGGGGCCCGGGGCGAAGGCGATGCAGCCGCCCGCGATCCCCCCGAACGACCCGATGCTCCCGATGGATTTCAACCCCCACATCGAGTGGTTCGAGTACCCGAAGGAGATCTTCGACCCGAAGTACCCGTACACCCGCGAGGAGAGCATCCGCATGACCGAGGAGGCCTGGGAAAGTACGATGGACGAGATGGCCTCGAAGTACGGCATGCGGCTGAATATGACGTCCAAGCCGACCTTCTGGATGGCCTGGGCGATGACGTTTTTCTACACATGGTACACCCTTTGGGGGTGCTACCGCGCGATGGGGACGGAGCCCGGGTGGAGGGACTTCAAGGCGATCATCCAAAGCCAGCCCAACAGCCCCACCCTCGAGGCGGATGACATTTATCTCGATCAGTGGATGCGGCCGGAGATGCGGGAGAAGTTCTCGCACTACGATCGGTTCTGGAATTGGAAGCCGCTGGTGAATCGGACAGGGGCGAAAACGTCCTGGGCGATCCCGATCGTCGCGCAGGACGTCTCCGAGTGGAAGCATCTCACCAGCAAGTACTGAAAGGGGGGCCGGGAGGGGGCCCGTCAAGTGTGAAAAGCCCCACGAAGGCTGTGGTTCGCATTCAATTGTTTCCGACAGTGGTCGAAAACGCTAGGGGTTTCCCTGAATACCGATAGATTTTTAGTGATATAGTATAGAAATGACAGATTATTCGGACGCTACTTCCCCCTGAAGTAGTTTACCGCTATGAGTAGGAGTAGTACTAGCACCTTTTCTGTATAGTTTTATTTGTAGGAAAAAGGAAAAATATCCCTTCCCTCACACACCCCCCAAAAAGCGAAAAACGTTGGGGGTCCCTGTAGTGGACAAAACATATCGGTTGGAATGCTACTTTACGAAGTACATAAATAAACATTGTTCTTTTGACTTTTAGTTAACCCCAATCGAATAAAACTATCCTTTTTCCTTCGCATGCATGGAATATATATATATATATATCTATTGTTTCTGTTTATTTTTTTCCTGTACGCAGTACCGATCGACGTGATCAACCCCTGGGTTTAAGGAGCTCCGAGCTCTCGTAGGGGTGACGTTTTGTTGGTTTAGAAATGAGTGTGTCGGTGTAGGGTTCGCCAAATGCTTTCCTTCACTTCCAGTTTTTCTAACCCAGAAACACCTTTTTAAGCCGACCTTCACCTCCAGCAATCTCACTCGTTGTGCAAGGGGGGGGGAGGGGAGGGAGCTAGTGATTTTCCTTACGATTGGGCCTCCGATTGATTGGGCATGTTAAACCCCGAGCCGCCGCGGCACCCCTCGCGGGGGATTTTAGCGAACTGGCAGCTCCTGCCGGCCTCTCGGCCGATGCGGGATCGGGACGGCCCCTCGGCCGGGGGGGTTGATGCGCCGCACGGGGACCCCGCGCGGTCTTTACGCGAGCTCTGGACGCAGGCCTGCGGGCGCGAAGCCGGGGACTCGCGGTGCGGGATCCCCCCCGTCCCGCCCGACGCCGCCCCGGCGCCGCAGGATCACTCCACGACGCAATTATTGGAGCCCCAGCCGGGACTCTCCGGCCTGGTCTGCAAAGACGCCGACCTCCT